GGCCAGCACCCCCAGGGCCTTCTGTTCAGGAAAGCAGCTGTGAGTCATCTGGACACTGGAAACAGAAAGCGTTTATCAGCAGGCTCATCACAAAGCCCCAGGAAGGCTCTTGTCCACCAGAGCAGCCTCCACTCTGGCTGCCCTATTTTTAGGCAGAGGTGATCTTTCCAAGCCTATGCTTCTGACTAAGGAGCAGGTTGGTTCTGTCCTAAGTTTTCTGGACCACTCTCCAAAAAGCAAAAACAAAAAAAAAAACAAAACAAACAAAAAACCAAAGGCCAGCTAGGGGAATTCTGTGGAACATGGCTTTATGCCCCAGGAAGAGAAGTGTATTGTAGGGCATTGGAAGGCGCTTACATTGGAAGGCAACTTGCTAACTTCTCAAAGAATACCATTCAAAGTCAACAAAAACAAATTTTGCTATAATAGAAGCAAACATCTGTATGGGAAATCACGTTCGTTCTCTGGGGCTGTGACAATCGACCCGACAAGAAAACTCAATTTAAAGGAGCAAGGTGTATTTAAGTATATGGCTTCAGAGGTTTCAGTCCGTGACAAATATCTTTTGGGCCTTCAATGTAGAAAAACATCCTAACAGCATCCATGGTGTACCCAAGCACCCGGCACTGCTTAACACTTAGTAGATGCTCAGGAAATAACAGCCAGCAGCCGTATTTCTATTGTTACCATTCCTAGGGACCATGGGGGAAGCTGCCTCATGACCATTTGTGGTCACCCCTGGGTAGGCTAAATATAGAGGCAAAGTGCAGAGCTTGTCCAGAGATGACGTATTATAACCACGCAAATACACAAGGCAGGGAGAGGGCCCAAGATAAGGGCCCTTGACATTCAAAGTCTAGCGAGGCCCAAATCACCAGCTTCGGTCATGATCCTGGGAGCAGGAAATGAGTGGTGACAGGGAATCCCTGGCATGCACGCTCCTGGCCCAGCTGCTTCGTTCCAGTGCAGGTGTTGAAGGAGGGTCAGGGGTCAGGGGTGACAAAGGCCATCCCACCAGCCCAGCGGCTCTTTCTAAAGCTGGTGAGCTGGATTCTTTGTTTTCTGGATTCGTTTTACATATTATTATTTTTTATTATTATTTTAGATAGGCTCTCTCTCTCTATAGACCAAGCTGACTGGAAACTTGTTATGATGCTTGGGTTGGCCTTAAGTTTGTGGCAATTCTTCTTCCTCAGCCTCCCCAATGCTATAATTACAGGTGTGAAGCATCACGCCCGACCAAGTTTTACTTTTAATATATGCCCTTAAAAAAAAAAAAAACCAAACAGCACAAAAAGGGAGGGTGTAAACGGAAAAGTTAACATCCCTCTGTCATCCTAAATCTCCAGGAAGATTTCTTATAAATAATCACTGTTACTTAAGAGAAATATTTACTCACACACAAGGATGTATGCATATTTTTTCATAGCTGGAAATCACAAAAATTGTTCTGAACCTTGCTTGTTTTCTTCCCAACTTCTCCAAAGTATCTTTTCAAATTAACTTATATAGATTTATTTATTTTTAATAGTTAACCTATAATATACAAGGTAATATAACGGCTGAGATTTCAGCAGTGTGGTTAATGTGCTTTTCACTTACCCAGATTCAGTGGGTTGTTGAGTGAGGCGCAGGGTTATGGGGAGGGGACCATTCTGTTCCCAGAATTTATCCAGGAATCCAGGATGACCCAAAGTGCTGCCAACTTTAGCCTGTGATTTCCATACTCCCTGGCTTCTGAAGTCACCCCAGGTGACAACACGCGGCCAGTGAATGGGGAAGAGTATGGAGGAGGGTGAAGAGCCTGCTTCCTGTTTTACAGCCACAGCCATGTCACGGAGACATTAAACACTTTTGCCTCCATTTCCAGTAGACGGGATTTTTTTTTAAATTTAATACTTAAATTTCTGTGTGTGTGCTCATGAGGTCACACATACACAAGAGCGTGTAGGTTCCCACAGAGGCCAAAAGAGGGTGCTGGATCCCTCAGAGCTAGAGTTAAAAGCAGTTGGAGCCATCAGATATGAGGGTTGGCATGGAACTGGGGTCCTCTGAAAGGGCAGCAAGTGATCTTAACCTTTGAGTCATCTCTCCAGCCCTCAGTGGTCAGAACTCGAAGGCCCTCTGTGCTGGCTGGTTTTGTGTGTCAATTTGACACAAGCCAGAGTCATCAGAGAGGAAGGACCTCAGTTAAGGAAATGCCTCCCTGAGATCCAGCTGTAAGGCATTTTCTCAGTTAGTGATCAACGGGGGAGGGCCCAGCCCACAGTGGATGGTGCCATCCCTGGGCTGGTGGTCCTGGGTTCTATAAGAAAGCAGTCGGAGCAAGCCAGGGAAAGCAAGCCAGTAAGCAGCATCCCTCCATGGCCTCTGCATCAGCTCCTGCCTCCAGGATCCTGCTCTGACTTTCTTCAAAAATGAACAGCAAGATAGAAGCGTAAGTCCAAGAAACCCTTTTCTCCCCAACTGGTACATTTTCTAGTTTTCCTTGCTCAGCTTGCTCCTTTTCATTACAGATCTTCATGAGAGTGACCACTAATAACTACAGGACAGAGTCTATACTAGGCTGTTTGGAGATTTCCTCTGCCAACGGAAGTAATCCAAAATTCTTCCCTTTAGCCTCAGGCAGACTCTTCAGACAATGGCAAAAGGCAGCCAGCCACATTCTTCACCAATTCAATACCATTTACCAAAATGTCATAAGAATGGTCTCTAGGCGACATACTAAAATTCTTCTCCTCTGAAACCTCTTGAGCCAGGCCCCCCACAGCTCATCAAATCACACTCTTATTACCACTGTCCCCATGTCCTTCTAGTCTGGCCCATTAAGCAGCACTTAAAACATTCAATAACTTTTCTAATCCACAGTCCCAAAGTTCATATTACTCCATATTTCAGACAAAAACATGATCAGGCCTATCACAGAAATGCCCATCCCTGGTACCAATTTCTATCTTAATTAGGGTTTCTATTGCTGTGAAGAGACACCATGACCATGGCAACTCTTATAAAGAAAAACATTTAATTGGGGTGGCTTACAGTTCAGAATCTTAGTCCTTTATCATCATGACAGGACATGGCAGCATGCAGGCAGACATGGTGCTGGAGAATGAGATGAGGGTTCTACATCTTGACCCGCAAGCAACAGGAAGCAACTGAGCTGGCGTAGCTTGAGAATAGGAGACCTCAAAGCCCACAGTGACATACTTCCTCCAACAAGGCCACACCTACTTCAACAAGGCCACACTTTCTAATAGTGCCACTCTCTATGATCTTACAGGGGCCAATTACATTCAAAGTACCACACCCAGCTGGGCGATGGTGGCATATGCCTTTAATCCCAGTCCTCAGCAGGCAGAGGCAGGCAAAGCTTTGTGAGTTGGGGACCAGCCTGGTCTACAGAGTGAGATCCAGGACAGCCAGGGCCACAAAATACAGGGAAAGTCTGCCTCGAAAAAACAAAAACAAAAACAAACCAAACTATCACAAGCTCATTCTTGAACAGTCCTTGGAATGTTCTGACTGGCCGCTGCTTTTTTTCAATGGGACACTACTACAGAAGAGAAGCACAAAGCTTTGATGGGCATTTAAAAGCATCTGGCACATTGCACCCTAAGGTTACATTCTAATTACTCTACGCTTTAGAAGGCTAGTCTGCCTCCTCATTTCCTTCTTGTCCTTTGTCAAAAAGAAGGGTTTTTTCGTGTTTGTTTTGGCAGCCCTGGAGACAGATCCCAGGACCTCACTTCTGCTAGGCAAGCATTTTACCACTGAGCTGCACTCCCAGCTCAAACAGACCTTTTTTTTTTTTTTTTTTTTTTTTCCTTTTATCCCTTTTCTTTTTTGGTTTTTCAAAACAGGGCTTCTCTGTGTAGCCCTGGCTGGAACTCATTCTGTTGACCAGGCTTGCCTCGAACTCACAGAGATCCACCCGCCTCTGCCTCCCAAGTGCTGGGGTTAAAGGGGTGTGCCTCCACACCGAGCTTCAAGTGTACCTTTTTAAAGTGTGGAAAGATGTTAGCTGGTAAGAATACAGAAACAAGAAAATGCAAAGCTGAAGCCATTGCTTCTGATTATATGTCCTGATTCAGGTTTGTTGGAGCTGGGGAGAAAAATCTCCAAATGATGTAGACCCTTGACTCAACACTTTCAAGGATGAGTCCTAGAAAACCTAGTGGTTCGCCATGCTGAAGATTGGAACAGGGCCTTGTTCGTGTTAGGTAAGCTCTCTGCTACTGAGCTATCTCCCAGCCCTCACTGCCCTCACATCTGAACTCATTTACAAGGGTGTTTATAATAGCCACACGTTATGAGTAACCTATTGGCCCAATGTAAAGAACTGTTGAAATCACTGTATATGCATAAAGAGTACTAAGCAAACATTTAAAATAATTGTATATTTTACACCTGCATGTATAAAATACTTCCATGATGTGTTTATTTTTAATTCATGTGTAATTAAAAAATTAATCACAGGGGTTGGGGCTTTAGCTCAGTGGTAGAGCGCTTGCCTAGCAAGCGCAAGGCCCTGGGTTCAGGCCTCGGCTCTGAAAAGAAAAAAAGAAAAAGAAAAAGAAAAAAAAATGAGTCACTTGTAGCAAAAAGGTGTGAGGACTATACATTCAAGTATTTATAGTTGTATCTGCATAGTGGAACTATGGGTATTCTTCATTTTATATTTCTCCGCCTTTGTCATAGTATTTTATCATTGGGGGAAAAAACAATTAGGAGAGAGTGTAGATAAAAGAGATCAGGGCGGAAGTGATTAAAGGCAAATATGTGAGTTGGACGTGACCTCCCAGACCCTGCCTGTCTGTTGGGTCTGTCACCGGACACTCAAGTTGCTATCAGGAGCACTTTTCACTGTCAAAGTAACTGGCCTTTGTCACAGAATCCCGGGTTATAAAGGGAGGGTACAAAGGCTCCAGGGCAGTCAGCCCAGCCAGCGCCACTCCTTGGCAGGGTTAGTGCGCAGAGGCTCGCCCGGGAGTGGGCTCCACATGGGGAACATCATTCGGGCCCTCATGGCCTTCATCCCCACCGACCGCTGCCAGAGTTACGTGGTGGGAGACCTCCGGGAGATGCCGCTGGACAGGATGGTGGATCTGAGCGGGAGTCAGCTGCGTCGCTTCCCGCTACACGTGTGCTCCTTCACCGAGCTGGTGAAGCTCTACCTCAGCGACAACCACCTCCACAGCCTGCCTCCAGACCTGGTAGAGCTGCAGAACCTGCAGATCCTGGCCTTGGATTTCAACAACTTCAAAGCTCTTCCCCAGGTGGTGTGTACCCTGAAACAGCTCTGCATCCTCTACCTGGGCAATAACAAACTCTGTGACCTCCCGGATGAGCTCAGCCTGCTCCAGAACCTCCGCACCCTGTGGCTGGAGGCCAACTGCCTCACTCAGCTGCCCGATGTGGTGTGTGAGCTGAGCCTCCTTAAGACCCTGCATGCAGGTTCCAACGCTCTACGGCTGCTGCCCGGCCAGCTCCGGCGCCTGCGCGAGCTCAGGACCATCTGGCTCTCAGGCAACCAGCTCGCGGACTTCCCCCCTGTGCTGCTTCGCATGCCCTTCCTGGAGGTGATCGACGTGGATCGGAACAGTATCCGCTACTTCCCCAGCCTGGCCCACTTGACTAATCTGAAGCTGGTCATCTATGACCACAATCCTTGCAGAAATGCCCCCAAGGTGGGCAAAGGGGTGCGCCGTGTTGGGAGATGGGCAGATGAGACGCCAGAGCCTGAGCCCAGAAAAGCCAGGCGATATGCACTGGCCCAGGAAGAGAGTCAAGAGCCACCTGCTCCCCTTCTTCCTCCCAGCTCCTGAAGAGCCTCAGTTGTAGGCCAGTTAAGAGGGCGCAACTGTTCTGAAGACAGTCTCATGAGAACGGAAGAGTCCCGGCTCATGCCAAGGCTGATGGAGAGCCAGGTGCGATGTTGAATCTAAAGGGATATTGAGAAGAAAGCATTTCTGGTCCAATGCACCTCTTCTTAGGAAGGTGTGGGCTGTTTGTGGCCTGGAACCCACCCAGAGTGACTGTCGCTCCTGAAGTAGCTTCTTCAAATAAGCTATTTTGAAACACTGAAGAGAAGAAGGGCCAGGGCCCTTTGGCCTCTTCCACTACAGCAGAAACGGCTGGTCATGAGGCTGGTGAGTGCTTCAAAGATGATATGTTAAAATAAACAAAAACTATCAAACGCTCAGGTGGTCTGTCTCTAGTCCCTCACACTTATCTATTTCTTTACCATGAATAGTATCAGTGTACTGTTACTAATTTGGCTTCTGAACAGGACACCTCTACCTGGTCAATCTTGATTAAAAAAAAAATAGTTGTTGTTACAAAGACCTCACTTGTCCAGCACCCACTGAAAAGACCAGAGAGGGGCCTCCTGGTGGAGCTGGGCCCCTCCCATCTTCGCAATGGTCCAGGCGGTTCCACTCATTTCCCCTATAAGGTCTGACCTAAGGTCTGCTCAGTTGTCATCTGGAAAGCCAAGCCTTTCTTCCCAATGCAGCCACGTGACTCGGGCAGTGAGTCTGGGCGGCCCTCCGGAGCAGAGCCATGGTTCCAGAGAGTCATACTATGTTAAAGGTAGAATGTAAACATCAGTTCACTTAAGCACTTGAAGCTTGAATTGGAGGTCACAGGGTCGATTGGAAGTCTCTGCCTTATATGTACACATTCTGGCCTTTTATCACAGTTTGGGTTTTTGTTTATAGGGTCTTTTGACTGTCTACAAACCTAGTTAATTGGGGCATTATTTATGGAAGTATGTAAATTGAGACTATAACAAATACATAAATTCTAAACTAACTGTCAGCAGATTACCTAATAATCTTTCCAAAATACAAGTACACAAATTGTCATCCTACCTAGATAAACTCATCTTGAGCTTTTAGAGCTATGGGAGGATCTGACGTTCACAAGCACAGTTCTGAAATGACAGAATCCTTCCAGAAACGCTGCTGGCTAGGTCAGAGGCGGTCCTGGAGTATCACATAACCCTGTCACCACCTCCCTATGCAGAGTACCTGCAGCTGAGTGACCAGACCACCAAAGATGCCTCTAATCATTAAATATAGTACGTTTACACCCACAGGGACAGCTTCTTTTTCTATTGAGTCCACATTTCTACTAGCTTGCTAGAATGCAGGCTTTTTTTAGTCTATTCTTATTCAGGGTGATTGAAGCCATATGCTCAGCTGATGCTAAACACACTTTGCAAACAAGAGTTTGCCTCCCAAGCTTCTGCTATAGCAGTTTAGATTGCTTTTTGACCAGTCTGCCCTCTCAAGACGAATAGGCCTATCTTCTCCAGCATAAGCTGCGGCCTTGACTTGAAGCTAACTGACCTCAGAGTTCTGAGTATGCTAACTGCTCTGCATCCAACGTTTGGCCTGTAGCCAGACTGTGTTCTTCTAAATCTGGAAGCTTGCAACAAACGTACCTTTGTCAAGCAAGGCTGATTTTGCTGCCTAAAAAATGTTTCACTGAAGGTTTTCCATCGCTTGTATATGGTATTTACATTTCTTTGAACTCTTCTGGTGGTCTGGGAGATGCTAAGATCACCTGTCAGCAAAATAAGGAAGGATGGCTGCAGCACCAAATCTAACTATTTCACCCCTGGAGTCTATGTCTGGAAACCCCACCACGGACTGGGGAAATCTCTTGCAGACCATCCCCCAAATGGGGAGGGAGCTAGTCAAGCTCTTCACTACTGGCCTGTCCTCACTCTTCCAGAACTTCGTATGTAGACTTTTAGTTTTCACAAGTAACATGAGTGGTAGCAACCCATGCTGGCTAGTTTTCTGTCAACTCAAGCTACAGGAGCCATTTGGGAAGAGGGAATTGTCAACGGAGAAAATGCCCCACCAAATTGGCCTGTGGGCAGGCAGGCTTGTGGGCTTTTTTTGATGTGGGAGGACCCAGCTCCCTGGGGAAGGTGCCAACCCTGGGCTGAGGTTCTGGGTGCTCTAAGAAAGCAAAAGGAGCTATGACAGGAAAGCCAGTCCAGTCAGCAGGCTCCTCCACAGCTTCTGCCTCAGCACGAGTGAACTAATAATGAAGTCAGGAATTTAAACCAAGTTTGCCTTTATTGTTCATGCTAGGAACTTCAAAGTTCTACAGTGACTGTGATCTACACAAGTTCCCACTTCTAAAGGTGTCAAAATGCACCAAGGGGACTTTGGGGAGATGGAAAACCACTGGATGGGTGCATTGGCGGGTTTATCAAGAGTATGACTGAAGAGGATAAAGAACTTAGGCCACAGTAATCCAGACAACACCAACAGCAGCAAGTTGTGATCCATACAGCTGAGTTCACAAGAAAGGAAAGTATTACTCAAATCCATTAGAATAGCCATGGAAGAAGCAGGGCACAGATGTCGAAATGGCCACTGGGGAGATGGCTCAGTGGTTAAGGGGGCCAAGTTTGGTTCCCATCCCTCAAGTCAACCACCTGTAACTTCAGCTCTAGGGGACTCAACTCCTCTGGCTTCCATGGACACTTGCACTCAAATACACATAATGCCCACCCCCTGACACACAGTTAAAAACCGATCTTAAACAAAATTAGAGGGGCTGGAGAGATGGCTCAGCAGTTAAGAGCACTGGCCACTCTGGCCTCTCTTCCAAAGGACCCAGGTTGAATTCCTAGTACCCACATGCCATTTCCTAACTGTCCGTAACTCCAGTTCCAGGATGTGGCATCCTCACTGAGACATACATGCAGGCAAAACCCCAATGTACACACACAATTAGCACCTGCTCTAAGTCTGGAAGAGAACAGATTCCCCCCCACATCCTGCCAGCAGCTGTGTTAAACCAGTAGCAATTTACTTCTCATGGACCTGAATCAGCCACACAAAGTAGGCCAGTGTGGCCTTACTGGATTCTAAAATTTTACAATTTTCTACGCAGTGACACTATCATTGACTCTTTGACATACCAATTTGTGTTTTCTTTATTCATTTGGGGTTTGGGGCTGGGCACCACTCACATCTGGAGGTCTGAGGAGAGCTTGCAAGAGTTAGTTGGTTGTCTCCTCCTTCTGCCATGTGGGTTCCAGGGATTAAACTCCGTCCTCCAGCTTGACAGCAAGCACCTTTGCCCACTGAGCCACCTTGCCTGCCCCTAACAGATTCCAGGTATTAAAACATGGATACAGAGGCTAGAGAGATGACGAAGTGACTACTTGCTCTTGCAGAGAACCTGGGTTCAGTTCCCAGCATCCACATAGTGGTCAACAACCACTCTTAACTCCAGTTCCAGGGAATCCCATGTCTCCTTCTGACCTCAGTCATCAGGCACACGTCTATCACTCTCTCTCTCTCTCTCTCTCTCACACACACACGGAAACTACAGGCTGACATCAGATGCTCCCCTCTAGCACTCCCCACTCTATCTGGGTGAAGGTCTCTGGCTGAACTGAAGCCCACCTATGGACCAGGCTAGCTGTGACTAGCTAAAGCCCGGTATCCTAGATTCTGCTACTCCAGTGCTGGATTCAGGTATGTACCACATGCCAAGGACCCCAACTCAGGTCCTCATGCTGTGACAGGCACTTTACTGACTGTGCCACTCCCTAGCCCTCTGATACCAACTTTAAAGGCCCTTTCTCCCCTATGCAGGCATTCTGAGGCTGCCAGAGACAGCTGATAAAACACCTATGCTTCTGGGCTTTCTTAAACTCTGTGCATGCTGCAATACACTACTTTCCAGATCTATGTCAAATTTAAATTAAACTCAGTATATATCTATGCTCATTTCCTATCTCTACCAAAACAGAAACTCTAACAAAATAATCATAATGAAGTTTACCATTATCTTAAGAGAATGTTACCTATTAGGGCACCAGAGAGAGGTAGACAGTTATATATGACTTTTTCAAACTTAACAGAAATTGAAACTTTTAATCTAATGTAAGTAAAAAAGGGTACTCACATAAAATTAAATCAGTACTGTATCTTATGGTACTTTTACTCCAAATTAACATGCAGTAAAAGCTATGCATGACTGAGTATATATACGGCCCATCCACAAAGCCAAAAGACTAATGTACTCATGTGTAACTCTGGGGCATAATCAAGACAATTATTTCATAAAAGAATAAAGTCAATAATTAAGCTGACACAACTCCACACTGAAATACAATCACTTCCATTAATTAGATTTCCAGTAGGATATATATAAATCAGTAAGACATTAAGAGGTAAGTAACTGGATTTTTTATTTTAATACACAGTATGAGAAATGAACTTGTAAATCAACTGAATTGTATGGAAAATGAAATAGCAAATAAATTAGACCCATGTTTAAAACAGAAGGTCAGCTAATGTTCAAACTTAAGGCTATCATGGACACATCGATTCCACAGTCTTCTTGAAAAGGTCGAAGTCTTTCAAATACAGCTTTGCTATGAACTGGTCCAGAGATCAACAGCGAATGGGAATGCTTAGCAGGGGTGGTGATCAGGGACACGTTTCCTATAAGGAAAAACCATACAATTAAGAAAAAGGAGTTTAAAAAAAAAATGATCAACCTGGCTTTTGCTTTTTTTTTTTTTTTTTTTTTTTTTGAGGGCCAGATCTTGCTGTATATATCCCTAAATTAGATGTTAACTTGCAATCCTCCTGCCTCCTCTACAAGGAATATACTACCACTTGGCTTAATTCATGTTTTTGAGTAATCTAAGTACTAGAAAAGTTCACCAAATTAGCCAGATGGCATTAAACAAAGCCACAGAGTGCCAACACACAGGGATTCTAGAGGACAATCTACTCAGGAGCACTACTGCCAAAGACAAGCTAGAGACTAGGTGGATGTG